CAACCCCTTTTTGTCTCCCCCCCCCCCCCCCCCCCCCACATCTCTAATTTCCTGCATTCCTCACACTCTATTCTCTCTTTGTGTAGCAACTCATCTTGTTCTCTTTTGAACATACTGATTCATAAACATATGTTCTAAGTTACCTCTCTTGTCTTTGGTAACGTATTCCACATGTTTACATGCCATTTTATGAAATAGTTTTCTTTAACCTTTTTATTTGCCTCAATTTCCTAATGTTCAAAATGTATTCTTTTCTTTCATGTTTTTTCTTCATAAATATATTGTACAGCTAAACAATGATGATTTTAATCAAAACCAAAACCACAGAAGGCCTAATCCATCTTTGATACATGAGGCTAAATTCTGTCCTTAGTTACTTTTGTGCAACAACTTTTGCAGAGTGGAAAAAGCTCTCCATTTTCCAGGATTTTAATGTTGGCAAATCACCTTCATGGCTAAATCTTGACTTATAAAGTATCCAGGGGATGCTGGGAGATACATTAAAAGCAACTTAGAAATTTATTGCTAAAATGGCATATTTGAAAATTATGTTCTGGTATAGCCCAATGGGTATTCTGTCTGTGTGTGCAAGTGTGCACATGGATGTGAACATGTGTGGTTAAATCTAAGGATAACCATGCAAGCTGAATATCCCAAACACAAAGTACCCTGAAGCTGAATTCATGTCCTTTTTTGTTAGTAAGTTATTCAACTTTAATAATAAATGCACTTGGAATTGCAATAGGCAGAAAAATGTACACTATAGAATTTCATAAAAGCTTCATTAAAAAATAAATAAAAAGCAGCAGCAAATAACCCAAATGAAATAGATGCAGTTTTAAAAATTCCTGCACAGATATGCTGCAGAGGGAGGGACATGAAAAGGGAAGACAGAAAAAGGCCACTCTGCACCCCAAGTCTAACAGGAGATAGTAGAGTTCTTTGAATGTCATTGAAGATGGCTTCTGGTGGTTTTGTTTTCTGGTAAAACAGGAGTTAAATTGATCTAGCAAAGAGAGACAATCTATAACTCCAAGGGCTAAACACCTTTGACTTACAAGATTCAAGGACCACCAGGTGATTAAATAAGATTATTAAGGTTCAGTTAGCCTGTTTTGCTTAGCTTTGCTGATGATGGTAGTCCAGTGCCTTTATAGCCTACTGTCTGCATACTCTAAAGTGGTCCTGTCAAAAGCAACACTCAAGCAGATAAATTGCACAGCAGTAATTGTGTATTAAATGTCAATTGAACTAACTTACATGAATTTCTGCTAAGGGACACATAGGTTGCAACATATGCTTCCATTTATCCAAATCCTATGTGAAACCGGTCTGAAATCCAATTAAATGAATTTTTGATAAGAGAATGAAGATATTAGATGCATAAAAATCTGCCAATGTGCAGTGATTGCTTTACCAGGCAGGTGAAATAAAATGCACTGAAAGGATAAACTTGTGGTAAACCAATTCATGACATGTACTGAACATGTTGTAGAACCCTCACAAATGAATATGTGACAAAGGAATAAACATGAAAGAAATACACTGATTGTACACTAAGGCTGTGCATTTCAGAGAGATTCACTGTATTATCTTCCTTATTCATGTGGATAACAGGCTTACTTATGTCTTCAAAAATAATTCTTTCTATCACACTGCAACAATTCTAAGCATAGTGATAAATAGGAAGCATGAAAATGTTAATGTATAAGAGCTAGTGGAATTTTAAAGGATCAGGACTGAGCCAAATTTTCAGATGAGATTTCTTGACGTGGAAAAACCTCACTGAAGAAAAAAAATGAACACAATAATATGTGTATTGCATATATATTGTTCAATAATTTGACTCTGAGATTTACAAAAATCCATATCAGAGGTTTTATTCCTGTTGTACAGCTTACATGGCTTTGGCGTCATTTGCAACTTATGAGCAACAATATCTAAGAGATTTATATTTTGCAGGGTTTTTTTTAAACTTTAATGTAACTTAAATTTAAAAATGAAAGCAGAAACTTCAACTGGAACAATCTGTGCTTTGTCAGCCAAGTGCAATGTATGAAGAAAATAGTACTCTAAATTTTTACTTTTAGAAGGGACAATGTTTTTCTCAAAATTAAATGAAAAGAATCAACTGAGTAATAATTTCTGCGTACCAGAAAAGGAGACTACGCAAAAATTATCTGCAGGATATCTGTGTACTCACTTCCCCCTTCTGGCACCCTCCAGATCAAAGCGCTAATGCCTCACTCTTCCATGATGAACATGAAATACACAGGACTCCACAAGATTTAAGGGCTGGATCTGCTGGTCGTGACTGTAAGAAATGGTGAGAAAATCTTGCCTGCTCTCTTCACCTCTGCAAAGTTCACATAGAGACAAGCAAACCCATTCTTGCACCTTTGGTATCCCCACAACCTAATGAATATCTGGAGTATAAATGACTTATATGCCCAGGCTGAACATAGGGGTGAATTTTCAGGGATGCCCAGCAGCAGTGTCTGCTGCCTGGCCACCAAGGTCCAAGGCCAGAGGCTGCAGGAGGCTCTTGGAAATGAAAAGAACCACCAACACTTGGGGGTGCCTGAGGCTATGAGGCATTTTCACCTGGATGGCAGTGACAAGACCATGGGAATGTGAGGATCACTGCAGAGCTTGCCCTGCCCATATCATGTAGAGTCATGAGAATCAGCCGTAAGAAACACACTCAGATGTTGCCAGGGGCTCCAGTGCTTTGGGACACCCACTGGTGTCCTGCTAGGCACAGAAAGAACCTCCCTCTTGACCTCCCCTGCTCAGGAAGCTGTAGAGAGCAATGAGGTCACCTCAGCCTCCCCCAAACTAGACCAACGCAGTGGCCTCAGCTGCTTCCTATAGGACCTGCCTTCAAGCCCCTTCACCAGTTTTGGTGCCTTTTTCTGGGCCTTGATATCCTTTGGAAAGTGTGGGCCTCAATTTACAGGATTGCATTCCTGTACTCTGTCCCCTTCCAGTATGGGAATTAGTAGCAATTAGTCCAGCTGCAGCATATTATTTCAGGGTGTGCTAATCAGCATGCATTTGTCTTGTGGGGCCATTTGCAAAGAGGAAAACGTGGTCTTAAAATACACTGGCTACCAATTTGTTTGCAAGTGTAACTCAAAATATAGACTTTAGTCTATAAACTCTTTTGAAATCCCTGCTCCCTAAAATCTCCCACTTTAGGTTTGAAAGAATTCTGAAGGTCTGAAAAATCATCAAAACCTGAAATTATCCTTATTCATATTCTTACTGTGTGCATTTTATA